CTACATGGGGCTCCCCTTGAGGAGCACCCGGAGGCTCCAACTGGCGCAGAGTGCGGCCGCGCGGGTGGTGATGGGAGCAACATGGCGCTCCCGTGTGACACCTCTCCTGCGCGAGCTGCACTGGCTCCCGGTGGTCTTCCGGGTGCGCTTCAAGGTTTTGGTTACCACCTTTAGAGCGCTCCATGGCTTAGGGCCTGGCTACTTACGGGACCGCCTACTACCACAAACAGCCTCCCACCGGCTGGTACGCTCTCATAGAGAGGGGCTCCTCCGGGTGCCGTCAGCCAAACAATGTCGACTGGCGGCCCTAGTGGGAGGGCCTTCTCTGTGGGGGTACTCACTATCTGGAATGAGCTCCCCCCGGAGATACGGAGGATCCCGGATCTGCGCTCCTTCCGTCGCGCTTTGAAGACACTCCTATTCCAGCAGGCCGGCCTGGCCTAATTTTCTCCCCTTCTTTTAAATTTTTAAATTGAAATTTTAATTTGTTATAAATTATTGGGAATTTTAATTGTCTCGGGCAAAATTATTTAATTTGATCTTAATTATGTTTTTTAACTTTTGTATTTATGTGTTTTATTTTGTGCCTGTTCACTGCCCTGAGTCCTTCGGGAGTAGGGCGGTATACAAATTTAATAAAATGAAATGAAATGAAATGAAAACGACATGATTTGAGTGCCTGGTTTTTCTCCTGTTCTGAAACACACGGGCGTGCTAAGACTCCCTAATTCCACTTTTTCCTTTAGACCCACAATTCTCAAGGGGAGAATGGGCTTATCCCTCTCTCCATCCCACAATCCCCTGCCCAGGGGTGGGGGTTCGCAAGGGTTCAGGAGAACCTCTAGCTAAGATTCTGTGCAGTTCGGAGAACCCCCAAATCCCACTCCTGGCTGGCCCCGCCCACCCCTCCCCTCCCAGGAGTCCGCACGTGGCCCGTTTTGGATGCAGGTAAGTGCAGGGGGCGCACGGAGGCTCAGGGAGGGTGAAAAACTGGCCTACTATAAATTTGGGTAAACAAGAATGTTTCCGGCCTCCAGTGGGCCTCTGGAGCCTGGGGAGGCTGTTTTTGCCCTCCCGGAGGCTCAAGAAAAGCCTCCGGAGCCCGGAGAGGGCAAAAACACCCCCTCTCCACCGCCCTGGTGCAGGAGGCCGACTAGGCCGTGCCCACCATGGCCACGCCCACTCAACAACTGGGCAGAGAACCCCTTGCTAAAATTTTTGAAACCCACTCCTGCCCCTGCCCCTGTCTTTTCAAGACGGGTTTGAATTCCCCAGCCTCGTCATCACCCGGTTGCCTCCTGAGGCCTTCCCTGCAATTAAAATCCTTCCGTCGGCTCTCCCAATTTGCACACCGTTCGGGGACCTGAGCTTGGCGTTAACAAAAAACCCTACCCTAAGGTGGCTTAGTTTCCCCTCTTTACTGACGGGGTGGGGAGGTTGTGTGAAGCCCCAGGAGGCATGACGGAGTTCGCCGATGTGCTTCTCAGGTGGGATCTCTCTCCTTTGGCCTTGAAAAGTGGGCGAGACGCCCCTCCCTGTTTGCCTCGGGCTTGCAAATCCAGCCTAAAATACCTTCACTCGACAAAAAGGTTTAATTTTTCTAAACCTTTGCTCGGTGCCTTTCCCCTTTCTCTGGAAGTGGAAGAGAAAAACTGGAAAGAAGCCATCGGCACAGATAGCCAGGAAGGAGGCGTTTGACATCTCCTTCCCCAGGGAAGGTGCCGAGGGCAGGCCAAAAACAGCCCTCGAATGACCTCAATCTCTCAGGATCATCAAGAGAACCAAGCCTCTCTCAGGAAACAGAGCCACCCCGTTCCTTTCCTCCCTGGGCTGGGCACCTTTCATTTATTTCCTTTTTTTCACGGTTAGATGAAACATCAACCTTCACAGTTAGATGAAACTCCCTGTTGGCTCAAAGGCCAACCAGGGCCCTGGGGATTTACCCGTGTTTCCCCCAAAATAAAGACTGGGTCTCATATTAAGTTTTTTGCTCCAAATGACACATTAGGGCTTCTTTTCCAGTTAGGACTGGAAAATAGGAAAAGTTAAAACTTTTCTTATTTTCGGGAGAAATACAGAACTAAGCTGACGAGCTTAACCGGGGCTTATTTTTGGGGTAGGGCTTATATTACGAGCATCCTAAAAAAAATCACAGAGGGGTGCGGCGGCTTAGAGGTGGGAGCTCTCGCCTCACCATCAGAAGGCTGCGAGTTCGATCCTAGGTCGAGACAAGATATTTCTCTCTCTCTGGGTACGTTGAGAATATATCTATCTGAATATAACTCTGCACTGGTGACAGGAAGGGCATCCGGTCAGTAAACATGCAGCTCCATTCAGTTGCCCAGAAGCCACCCAGCAAGGGATTATGGCAGTGGTGAAATCCAAATTGTTTTACGACCGGTTCTGTGGGCGTGGCTTGGTGGGTATGGCAGGATACGGCAAAATCTCCATTCCCACCCCACTCCAGGGGAAGGATATTGCAAAATCTCCATTCCCACCCCACTCCAGGGAAAGGATACTGCAAAATCTCCATTCCCTCCCCACTCCAGGGAAAGGGTACTGCGAAATCCCCATTTCCTCCCCACTCCAGAAGGATACTACAAAATCCCCATTTCCACCACACTCCAGGGAAAGGATACTGCAAAATCCCCATTCCTTCCCCACTCCTGGGGGAAGGATACTGCAAAATCTCCATTCCCACCCCACTTTGCAGCTAGCCAGAGGTGGTATTTGCCGGTTCTCCGAACTACTCAAAATTTCTGCTACCGGTTCTCCAGAACCTGTCAGAACCTGCTGGATTTCACCCCTGGATTATGGAGTCATTAAAAGATGATCCTGAAAAAAATCACGCTAGGCCTTATTTTCGGGTTGGGTCTTATTTTCGGGGAAACACGGTACCTGCTGTCCTGCCAAAAAGATCCTGCTTAGGGGCTGTCCAGCGTGCCGGAGATCTAGCCACAAATCCCAGGGAGCCCTCCACCTTTCTGCCGGCCTCTGAATCACTGCCTGAATGATCTCTGCTGGTGGGAAACAAGGGGAATATTATCTGACGGGGAAAAAAAAGACTTTTGCATGACAATCGATGGATGAGCTTGCACAAGGAAAAGCAACACAGCCGGTGGCTGAGGACCAGTGACCTGACACTGGATGGGGCCTTTCCAGGTCAAAGAAAAAAGCAACCACGGAAGCTTGGGACAGATATGACCTGGATCAGGGGTCAGCAACCTGCGGCTCCGGAGCCACATGCGGCTCTTTGGACCCTCTGCTGTGGCTCCCTGTCAGGTGATCCCACCACTGGCTGGCCCCGTCCCTTGCCCTCCCCTCCCAGTCACTCCTCGCCTGGCCTGAGAAGGTAAGGGCAACGGCGGGGGATGGGAGAAGTGGCCAGGGCAGAGACAGAGAGATACAGAGAGAGAGGGGGTGAGAGAGAGATACAGAGAGAGGGGGAGAGAGAGAGACATAGAGAGATACAGAGAGGGGGAGAGAGAGAGAAAGAGAGATACAGAGAGAGAGGGGGAAGGGAGGGAGGGAGGGGAGAGAGAGATACGTCAAAAGGATTTTGTGGTTCCTGGCGTTTTTTAACAACTTGTTCTCTGCCCTAATGACCGGCTGGGTAGGCGTGGGTCATGTGACTCACCAGTGAGTGACATCGAATTGGCCATGCCCACCCAGGTTTTGTGGCTCCCGGTGTTTGCTTTTCTGTGGGAAACGGGTCCAAATGGCTCTTTTGAGTGTTTAAGGTTGCAGACCCCTGACCTGGATGATTGAGAATCTCCATAGACAACCATTGCCTCTTGGAAACCTGTTGCCTTTTTTGGAAAGGCACACCCTGCCGTCTCTCCCTGGCAATAACCATGCCAAAATACACACCCCTGCCTCCCACGGTAACCCAGTTTACTTTCCCTCTCCGTTGCCAACAGCAAGACGCCTTGTCTACATTTGGCCACCCTGTGACAAAACGATGCTCAACCTTAAATCCACGCCTCCAACCACTCCGGTCGCATTCTCTAACCATTAGCCATACCGGCCCTGCCTCCGGGCTACGGAGCCGATCCTCGTTTTCTCATCAGATTAATCCCTTTTGTCAAGTTGCTCAAGTTAAGGCGGCCGGTGAGAAATCCTGAACAGCGTCTCCAGCCGCTTTCCGTGGAGCGGAACGATAGCGAAAGGCAGCTCCACCTCGGCTCATCAGCAAGTGCCGATCGGGCTGCGGGAAGCCGCTTCCTGCAGACTCGGTCACCCAAAGTCATGCCAGGGCCAGGCTGCCCAAGACGCAGGATTACTAATCCGGTGTGGCTGCACGCCTATTTATGCTGCCCTTGTTTAGGGTGTGAAAGAGCTCCTAGCTGGACGAGATCTGCTTTTTTTTTTTAAGGGAAGGGGGGACAACCTCTGGAAAAGAGGCCCAATCCAAGCATGCGGGGGAACGAAATCAAGGGCGCCACCAACCCATCTCAGTGGATGAGCCGAAGATGGGGTGACACAAGGAAAATTTCACTTTGGCGCCAGGGAAAAAAAATGATGTGGCGGAGTGTCTTCCCGCTCCCGGAAGATTTAACGCTTTCCTCCTCTTGAGGAAGAAACACATGCGGAAAGGTGGAATTCAGCCGGTTCGGACAAACCAATTCGGGCAAACCAATAGTGGAAATTGTGGGTGGCCTGCCCACCCGCTCCGGCTCTATGCTGTCCTATTTAACCACGTTTTTGAATCCGGCCGTGTGCGCATAAGGCGCAGACGACAGCAAAGCGCATGCGCGGAAGACTGGGCGCATGTGCACGCGCTCACATTTTTGGTGCTGGGCGAACCGGTAGGTAAATTATGTCAATCCCACCTCTGGACACTAGGAAGTGGAGAGAAGAGGCAACTCAAAAACCAGCCTTGTCAGGGGACAACTTTCTGCAAGGAGGCAGGATCCAGACGAAGGGAAGATTCGGAGAGTCCTCCAACCGCTAAATTTTCCGTGCCAGGCACTGACGCAGACACACACCGGGGCCAGGCGTGTCTTTCCTTCCGACTGTATTTAACTTATTTATTGACCGATAAAATGATCACACACATAGAAGCAGAAAAAAAAAAAAAAATTGACCAGGCTTGGGTTCCATGAGTCCGTTGCACATTCCGGCTTGGAGAGAGGCGAGGTGGAAGGCCGCCGAGAAGCAAAGACCAAGGGGGCCCGGAAGAAAATCAGCCCAAATCTATATCACTCCGGAATGGGGTTCGAGGAGGAGGAGAAGGAAGGAAGGAAGAAGCCGAGGAACGGGTGGGTGAGGAAAAAGTGACGGCAACGTTCCTTGAGAAGGGAGGGAGGAGGGAGGCAGAAAATGGGGGGAAGGAAACGGGAGTCCAACAGTCTCTCTTCGGGGGCCGCTCAGGGAAGAGAGTTGAAGAGATCTTTGAGGAAGCCGTCGGGGTCGCAGATTTCGGATAACAATCCTGAAATAAAGTGGGATAAGTCAGAGCCGGCTGTGCATGCAGCACCGACACGCCCCAACGCTGGTCTCCGGAAGAGGGCGGATGGCAAGCAGAACGATGCCAAGCACTCACCAGCCACGTCCAGGAATTCTGAGAAGGTCTCCGCGGGCATGAACTCCTCCTGGAAGGACTTGAGGGCTCTGTCGGCCGCCTCGTAGATGGGCATGTCGTTCTGGCGGATGTACTCGGCCAGAGAGTAGGACCAGCCCCCCTCTGTGTTGCTCGTAGGCACCTTCTGTAGGGGGAGAGGAAGCAGGAAAGACGCTGGCACTTGGGGGAGTAAGGGAGGGAAGGAAGAAAAATAGGGAGGGGGGAAGGAAGGAAGATATGAGGGAAAAGAGGAAGGAGGAAGGAATAGGTGGAAAGAAAGGAAAGAGAAAGAAAGAGAAGGGAAATAGGGAGGGAAGAGAATGAAAGAAAAAAGAGGGAGGGAGGGAGGGAGGGAGGGAGGGAGGGAGAGAGAGAGAGAGAGAGAGAGAAAGAAAGAAAGAAAGAAAGAAAGAAAGAAAGAAAGAAAGAAAGAAAGAAAGAAGATATGAGGGAAAAGAGGAAGGAAAGAAGGAAGGAAGGAAGATGTCATGAGAGAAAAGAGGAAGGAAGGAAGAAAGGAAGGAAGAAAGATGACATGAAGGAAAAAAGGAAGGGAGGGAGGGAGGGAGGGAGGGAGGGAGGGAGGAAGGGGGAGGGGGGCCAAGACTGAAGCCTAGCTGTCTAACTGTCCCCTGGAGTGGGGGCTAGGATAGACCTGTGGCCTAACCAATCCTTCTTGGGGTGAATGAAGGGGGTTTAATGGGGCTCTCCTGGGCTCCCCTTTTCAGCTTGGTAGACAGTTGGAGCGTGGATCTCCACCTGGAAGCTTTGACCCCGTCCCAAAGAGGCTGTAGAGACCAGACCGTTCATGGCCACACCATCGTAGGTGTGGTGCCCTGCGCCCTGATTCTTGGCAGCTCACGCGCTCGCCCCTCGGCCACCCCGATGCAAGGGAAGCACTTACTCTGAACATGTTGTAAATGAGATCAACCAGGGCCCAGAAGAGGAGGCTGGAGCGATAGGCCGCGTAGTCCTTCACGGCTTTGTCCGTTAGCCTGTTAGGAAGGGAGGGAGAGAGAGAGGCCATCAGATCCCTTGGGTGGGTGGGTAGATTAATTCCAGCCGGTGAACCATCCAGCAGTAAGGGCGAGGAGGAGACCACCGAGAGGGGAAATGCACACAGCGACCCAGCAGGGGGCTGGAAACACACGGGCAGCCTGGAGCTCCCCCCACCCCGTTTCCTGCACCAACTGATTTATACCCCAAGCCTCCAACCTGGCCTGTTTTCTGACCACTTGCAGCCCTTTTTTTTTTTGTAATGCCAGAAAACAGGAAGTCCTTTTTCTCAAAGGTAGGTGTGTGTGTGTGTGTGTGTGTGTGTGTGTGTGTGTGTGTGTGTGTGTGTGTGTGAAGCCCTGGCATGCTGAGCCGAGGGTCACTTCCACGGCCCATCCCTGAGTGTGGGGGGGTATTTCCTCCCTCCCTCCCCCTGGGAAGCAGATGGCAAAAGGGGGATCGACACCTCCCAGGCCTTCAGTGGAGCCTGTTGCAAAGGGCCCCTGGCACCTGAGCTCCCCTCCTTCTCTTAAGTAAAAGCTGGGGGTGGGATTTCAGGTCAGGAGCCTCCCTGGAAGGCAGTCTGTATAGATTCTCTCAGTCTTCCAAGGTCACAGTTGTCCCAAAGTGCTTTTTCAGTGAGGCAACTCAGTGGTAGGATTCAGCCGGTTCGGGAAAACCGGTTGTTAAATTGCTGCCTGGCCCCACCCCTCCCCTCCCCTTCCAGGAGTCCCCATGCGCCCCATTTTGGTTCCCAGGTAAGCGCAGGGAGGCCTACTAGGCCCAAAATGGGGCACAGGAGTGTGTGTCCCCCCCCACAGCCCACTTTTGCTCCCAGGAGGCTGCAGGGAGGCCTACTAGGCCCAAAACAGGTGGGGCACAGGGTGTGTGCCCCCCTCCCCCCCCCGGCAGCCCATTTTTGCTCCCAGGAGGCTGCAGGGATGCCTACTAGGCCCAAAACGGGGCACAGGGGTGTGTGCCCCCCTCCCCTCCCCCACAGCCTATTTTTGCTCCCAGGAGGCTGCAGGGAGGTTTACTAGGCCCAAAACAGAGCACAGGGGTGTGTCCCCCCCCCACAGCCCATTTTTGCTCCCAGGAGGCTGCAGGGAGGCTTACTAGGCCCAAAACGGGGCACAAGGGTGTGTGCCCCCCTCCCTCCTCCGCAGCCCATTTTTGCTCCCAGGAGGAGGCCGAGTGCTGCCTGTCACACCCCATGGCCACGCCCACCATGGCCACGCCCACCCAGCCAGTCATTAGGGCAGAGAACCAGTTGTTAAATTATTTGAATCCCACCACTGAGGCAACTGGACCGTTAGGTAAGCCTGAGGACACAGATAAACCTCCAAGTGGCCTCAAGGACTCTCTAAAAAGGATGCAAATGACCAGCTGTCTGCAAGGAGTATCAATCCTTCCCTTCCCCACCATCCAGTCAGAGCTGAAGAAGCTTCTTGGAGGAGAAGCGAAACGTCTTCAAAGAAAAAAAAGAAAAAGAAAGTCCAGTGGCCTCCTGAAAAAAACCCCCCTTTTGGGACCCTGGAGGGCAGAAAACCAGTCACCCCTGACCTCAGAACAGCCCCCCACCCCAGTAGATGTGGAAGATGGATAGCCAACACTGGCAACAGCTGGAAGAGAAGGGAGCCGTGACCCCAAATCCATCCTTCATCAGGTTAACTCTAAAATTGAGTCGGAGAAGATTTGGCTTTACTGGACAGGCCAAGGGAGAAGGGCACCTCCCAGGATCACGGGGCATCCTCGACTTACGACCATTCATTTAAAGTTGCGACGGCCCTGGGGAAAAAGAGGGACTTCCAAGCAGCCCTCACTTTTGTGACCATTTTTAAGCGGTCGTAAACCGAGGAGGACCTGCCACGTCCACCCAGCCATGTCTCGTCGTGTGCTTACTTGCTGGCTCCCGCCGGGGACACCGTCCGGGCGTGGGAGATGACCAGCAGACGCTTCAGGATGTCGATGTGCACCGCCTTCCACCGCTCGGGGGGCAGGATGTGAAGCGCCAAGACGGTGTAGTAATGGGGGCCGTCCACCTCAAAGGCTCCCTCCACCCACTTCTCCTTCGGCTGTTCCAGGAAGCTCTGCAGGTTCTTCTCCTCTCGAGAGGTCGCCCGCGTCCTGCAGAGGAAGGAAGCAGAGGTTGTCGGGAGGGGAAGGACTTGGATCAGAGAAGTCCTTCCCCACCCCAGACCGCAGATCATCTGGCCGAAGAGGTTGTAGAAAAAATGGTTTTAAAAGTTAAAAAAAAAAAAAAATTGGCCACGCCCACTCACTCACATTAACCCCCCCACAAGCCACGCCCACAGAACCAGTAGTAACAAATTTTACGTTTCACCACTGGGATCATCTGATTTAAAAAGAAATGATTTGGGCAAGGGGAGGCTTCCAGGGTAAGGGGCCAAGATCTGTCCTGCTGCCTAGAGCCTGGCAAACAAGATTTGGGCACCACCCACAGAGCTAGGCAGTGAAGGCAGTGGAGGACGGAATCATGCAAACCGTCTGCGGACAACGTGCTCAGCCATTAAACTGCTGACTGCCGCCTCCTCCTCCTCCGGTCCGATCCTTCCAACCTAGGCTAAAAGCACAACGAAGGATCCGGGAGATACTGACGTGTTGAGGACGTAAAGCACTGTGTGAATGATGTAGGGGATCAGGTGAATGTTGCTCTCCCGCCCGCCGCCGCCCGTGTCCACGCTGAACGACTGTTCCGTGGCGAACCGGAGGAAGAGCAGCTTGGTGTCGTGCACGTTGAGCTGGTAGGTGGGCTCCCGCTGCCCCGTACACTCCTGGAGGTAAGTGTTGTGCCTGCCAAGGGAGAACCACAGGTGGATTAGATGCCCCCGGGCTCCCCGAGCCTTAAGGGCTGCCATTTGGAATCGATTCCGTGGGAAAACAAGGTTAAGGAGGGACAAGCCACAAAAACAGACAAGCACGTACGACTATTTTTGGCAAGGGGGACACCTCACGAGACACATAAGGGCTTCCTCCTCCTCCTCCTCCTCCCAGGTGGGAAGATGCCCCTTGCCAGACGCCGCAGGGGTTCCAGGAAAGGGCGCCTTTCCAACTCACCTTGCCAAGCAGGTGGCAAAGGCAGATTCCGGGACGTGCGGCCCCCAGACTGGCAGGAGGCCGTTGCATTTGGTGTTGGCGTTCTGCAGGGCGGCGCTCTCCCACTCCTCGCGACCCCGCGCCAACCTGCCAGGGTGAAGGAAACTCACGTCCGTCAGGGGCATTGAGCTCTGCCAACCCACCCACCCCTTCCCACGGAGCCCCTACCCCAAAGACCTGCTCCCGCAGGTCTTCACAGATAACTCCTCTGCCCCCAGTTAGCTAACCGGCTCCTTCTGATTTATGTGGGCTTCCTCACACCGATCCAGGCCTGGCTGAATGCCAAGGCTGCTGCCAACCGGGCTTCCTTACCTGACCGCGGCCAGGTGGCAATCGTAGTGGACGATGTTGAAGTGGGAGACGGTGCTGTAGCCCTGTTGCTTCCGAGGCTTGTTCTCAAACTCCTCCAGGGCTACCCGCTTGGTGAAGGTGTAAATGCCCAGGACCTTGGTGGGCTGAGGCAGGAAAGAGCAGATAGGGTGAGTTGCAGTGGTGGAATTCAGCCGGTTCGGGCCAACCGGCAGTTAAATTGCTTGCTGGCCTCGCCCCTTCCTGCCCTGCCTCTTCCAGGAGGCTCCACATGCCCCATTTTGTTTCCCAGGTAAGTGTAGGTAGCCCTCCTAGCCCCAAAACGGGGCGCGGGGGCGAGGCAGCACGTCCCCCCCACGGCCCGTTTTTGCTCCCAGGGGAGTGCTGCCTGTCACAGCCCTGGCCACGCCCACCAAGCCACACCCACAGAACCGGTAATAAAGATTTTTGAATCCACCACTGGCGAGCTGCCTCTGAACTCAAAAACGACTGGGGTCGTCCCCCTCCCCTCCCCAAGGGGACCGTGGGGAAGGTACGGCTCCGGACTCACCTGGAACTTGTAGCCTTCCCGACAGATGCAGCACGTCAAGCCGGGCTCTTCGATCAGCTCCTCCATCTGCTTCAGCAGCGCCGTCTTCGTCACCACCTGACCCTTTTCGTTCGTCTGGTGAGCCAAGCAGAATAGAAGAGGGGCTGCTGAGGAGGAGGAGGAGGAGGAAGGGCCACGGGGTCTGTACTCCCCAAAGGCCTCCTCGCCTCCCGCCACCCCGAGCGAGAGGGGCCCATTACCGTCATGCCGAGGGTGCCCAGGGCCTTCTGCCGCATGGCCATGGCCATCCGCTTCTTCTCTGCCCGTGTCTCCCTGCGGGCCGCGTCGATCTTCTTGTTGACGTCCGGGTGCTCCCGCAGAGCTTCCAGGAGGTTCTCGGCCAGCGTCCCGATGCCTTCGTCACTGGAGACCTGCTCCAGCTTGTGCAAGTTGGAGATCGAATCGGTCCCAATCAGAGCCTGTGGGGCAGGGAGGGAAGGGGGAGGGGGGAGAGATAGGCTTTCAGCTCGAGGGCCAACAGACCAGACCGATGTCAGGTATAGGAGGAAGGGACGATTTGCCCCGTCGTTTTCCTTTAAACCTTTCACTACCAAGGGTCCTCGACTGCAGCACAGTCACAGGACTACAATGTCCACCCTACCTAACTGACAAAGTCTTCTGGGGGAGTGAAGGCCCTTTGCCCTCCACCAAGCACAGCTGGGAGGATAAATATCGAGGGCCAGCATTGAACTCAGGGGGACAGAGCGCAAGCCAGGGGAGCATCAGGTGCTCAGGCACCGTCCCTGCCAAAGGCAGAGTCTATAACGGGGGTCCCCCATCCCCAGTCTGTGAACTGGCCGTGGTCCACGGCATGCCAGCAACTGGGCTGCGCAAATAAGCGAAGTCCCATCCGGGGAATGCAGGCAGCATGCAAAATCACGCCCCTTTCTCCGTGGAACTGATCCCAGGTGGCCAAAAGGTTGGGGGCCACTGCTCTATAACACTTCCTGCTTCCCACAGCGAAACAGGGGAGGGAGGAGGAGGAAGGAGGAGGAGGACATGGAGGGAGGAGGAGGAGAGGAGAGGTGGAGGGAGGAGGAGGACATGGAGGAAGGAGATGTGGATGGAGGAGGAGGAGGAGAGGAGAGGCGGAGGGATGAGGACGACATGGAGGGAGGAGGAGGAAGGAGGGGTGGAGGGAGGAGGAGAGGGGAGGAGGAGGAGTGGAGGAAGGAGGAGAGGGGAGGAGGAGGAAGGAGAGGTGGAGGAGGACATGGAGGAAGGAGATGTGGAGGGAGGAGGAGGAAGGAGAGGTGGAGGGAGGAGGAGAGGGGAGGAAGGAGAGGTGGAGGGAGGAAGAGAGGAGGTTGAGGGAGGAGGAGGAGGAGAGGTGGAAGGAAGAGGCGGAGAAGGGAGGGAGGACACCTCACCTGGGTGGCCGGATGCTGGGTGGCGAGTCCTCGGAGCAGCCGCAGGATAAACGGGAGGGCCGGTCGAGACAGAAACTTCTTCCACACATCGGCATCCAAACTGTTGGAGAGATTGTGGGGGGGAGAGAAGTGGGGAAGAAGAGCAGCCACCGTCAGTGCAGAAGCATCCACGGAGCATCGCTCAGCCATGTCTCTCCTTGGGAGCAATGAAAGCTTCTCCCAAACCTCTCCCCACCCAGAAAAAAAAAAAAAAAAGAGAGAGTTCCCTTGGATACACTGCAGGGCTGGCCTTTAAAATCCAGGCCTCAAGCGAACAACAGTGGTCTTCCGGACTGCCAGACTGCAACTCCCCAACACTGCCTGGCTGGAAAGAGCCTCCGGTGAAGTATTCAAAGTGCCCCTCCCAGCGTGGGAAAAGGGGGCGCTTGGGCTGCCTCACTAGGAACCTGCTCCGTCCTTTTGAGGAGGAAGGGAGACGGCCAGTATGCAGCATGCAAGGAACCGTGGGGCTCAGCCTAGCTAAGGATTCTATCTCACGTTCTCTCCAACCCCCCCCCTCCCAGCGGTTCCTTGGGGAGAGGAGCCACCCCCTGGCCAGGCCCTGTCCCCCCACAGACCCCTCCTCCCGAGCGGGGCTCTCACTTCTTGGCGCTGGGGATATGCTTCTTCATGTAGTCCAAGGCGCCCTGGGTAATCCCTCTCTGCAGGATGAGGTCCTTCAGCAGGTGCCCGTTGCTGTTGTTCTTGATGCCAGCTGCAATTTTGCAGAAACAGTCCAGAAAGACTTTATCGTCGCCGCTGTGTTCTTCGTCGTACCTGAGAGAGAGAGAGAGAGAGAGAGAGGAAAGAAAGGTGTCATCGAGAGGGGCTCGCAAAGACCACCTGAGTCCACGTTCTGCTTTTTCAGGGCCAGGAAAAGCTACTGGGTGGTTTGAAACGAGAACGAAACTCAAAAAAAATTCCGTAGCAAGGAAGATAAAAGCAGGAATGGTTAAATGGACTGTTTTATTCGAAGAGAATACAGTAGAGCCAAAATTTATATGATTTATAAATTTGATTTATATGCCGCCCTTCTCCGGAGACTCAGGGCGGCTTACAATGCGCTAAGCAATAGCCTTCATCCTTTTGTATATTTATACAAAGTCAGCTTATTGCCCCCACAAACTGGATCCTCATTTTACCTACCTCAGAAAGGATGGAAGGCTGAGTCAACCTTGAGCCTGGCGAGATTCGAACCTGCAGTAATTGCAGGCAGCTGGTCTTAATAACCAGCTTAATAACAGGGTGCCTTAGACCACTGTACTACCAAGGCTCTTTGATGGCTAATACCACTTTTTTTTTTTTTTTTTTGGAGTTTCAAGCTAATCCTATTCCACTGCTGGAACGGCCTGGGAATAGCCCAGACCTTCACCCAGTTGAAAATCTACGGAGCCGACTCAAGAAACTTGCTAGTCAGAAGCGACCCAGCAATAAAACCCAGTTAATAGAAGCCATCATTCGATCTTGGTTTCACATCAGAACAGCTGCAGAACTAAAAGGCTTGGTTCGCTCCATGGGAAGACGTTGTTAAGGCCATCATTCATGCTAAATGTTACCCAACGAAGGATTAACTGACGTGGTGATCATTTTTGTATTTCTCGTTTTTTCTAAGTGTTTCACTTTTCTTCTTTAAAAGTTATTGCATTACATTCCTGATTAAATTATCTTTCTATTGATATATAATTTTATGGTACTACTCCAAAACAAAGTGGTGTTATTAGCTAGTTTTAGAAAATACACTTTTCCCAAAACGGTTTCCACAATTTTGGCTGCTGCTGTAGATTTTTATTTGGATATCGCTTCTGGAATTTGTGCTTGGTGAAGAAGAAAAAAAAATGAACATTGACCTTGGTTTTGTGGATTAGAAAGATTTGATGCTAATAGGAATGGCTAGTTACCGTATTTTTTGGAGTATAAGACGCACTTTTTTCCCTCCTAAAAGTGGCTGAAAATTTGGGTGCGACTTATACTCCGAATGTAACCCCCCCCGCGCGGTGCCCAAAATGGCTACCCGGAACAGCTGCTGCCTTCTCTGACCCCTTCCGCGCTTTGCCTGCTTTAGTCACTGGAGCTCCCTCCGAGGATCAGCTGTGTTTTTGAAGCTGTTTATCAGCCCCAAGTGATCTTCCGTGCTTTGCCTGCTTTTCTAATTGCTGCTCCCTCCGACAATCAGCTGTGCTTTAGAACCCCAACCAGCCCCAACCTCAAAACCAGCGAGCGAACTAATGTGCTGGGACTAGCCAGATGAATACCAGGTAGGCAGAATTCCCCCCCCCTTTTCCTCCCCAAAAACTAAGGTGCGTCTTATACTCCGAGAAATACGGTATATATTCATGTGTGAAAGCAAAAAGTCGAGGTTGGAGTGTGTCCATCTTGTACTGCGCTAAGAAGAGTCGGAAGTCAATCCCCCCTTTTCTTTCTTTTTTTCTCTTCCCCCTTGTATCTCACGCCCCCTTTTCCCCCCTTCCTTTCCTTCCCTTCCTTTCCTCTATTTTTCTCTCTCATCTCTCATCTCCTGATATGGAGATGTAAAATATAAAATGATATATTTTATATCATAAAAATAAAAACGACAAATTAAAAGAGAACGAAACTCAAAAGGAGGAAGCCGTTTTCGTTCGCCGTCTCCTTGCGCAGGAGAGAAACCGGGCCAAAACCCACACGCCCGGCTCCGTTTGTGCAACGTGGGAAGGTCACGCGTTCCTGCTTGTGTGCACGCACACGCCCAAACCCAAGTGTACTTAGAAGAAGACTGAGAACGGCCCCGGGCGCCGTCCTTTGTCCGTACTTGTCGAAGCTGCAGTAGGGCTTGAAACGGTCCACCAGGATCTCCATCTTCTCCGTCTCCCCGAAGGACAGGTAAGGGATGATGCGCAGGAGGCCCTGGAGCACGCTGGGGTTGGAGCGGACAAATGTACTGTTGATCTGATCCAGTAGCATCACCAGCTGGTCCTTGTCGCCCGTCAGGATCAGGTTGCCCTGCGGAGAGAATCGCCCACCCGCTTGAGAGGCAAGTGGAGGCCCCTTGGGACACCAGCCTGGCTTCCTTCCTGCCGGCCTGCCTGCGAGGACTGTTGTCAACCCAGAAGATGACCGCACCGAGGCCATTTTTTAAGCTTCAGTGTTGCCACAATGAGGGATCAGGATGGGGGAACAAAGATAACTGGGGTTCTATAGCCGAAACAAAAGACTTTCTCCTGGGAACCAAGGACATTCCCACAGGTGGCGGGAGAGAGAAAAGTGCAGAGGTGGGCTGCTGGGGGTTCGGGAGAACCTCTAGCTAAGATTCTGTGCAGTTCGGAGAACCCCCACATCCCACTCCTGGATGGCCCCGCCACTCCTGCCCCACCCCTCCCAGGAGTCCCCACGCGGCCCGTTTTGGATGCAAGTAAGTGCAGGGCGGAGGCTCGGGGAGGGTGAAAAATGGGCATACTGAAAGTTCGGGAAGGCCTGAAACGGGCCCGTTTCCGGCCTCCAGAGCCCTCCAACCTTGCACCAACCTTGTCCTCACTCAGCGGCTCCGCGTTGGACTCGTCCAGGATAATCTCCATGATGCTGAGGACTTGTTCTGCCACCGCCGCTCCTCCGCTGTCCTTGCTTTCCTGCTCGGCCACCAAAGCCTACAAAGAGGACGCAAACGAGAGCGTTGGAGTTGGAGAGTTCAGACACCGCTTCCTTGCTCCCAAGCAGGGAAGGCGAAAGAGAGAGGGAGAGAAAGAGTACCCGCCAGGCGGTGGGAACGTGGCCGCTTACCAAGTTCAGCGTCCCCAGCATGACGTTGAGCGTGTTCATCTCCAACTTCACCAGCTGCTGGCGGTTGACCTTCACTTTGACGCAGTAGCTGAAGAGCTTCAGCAGGACCTGCGGGAGGAAGAGGTGGTCCAAGATTTCAGCAGCAGTTTTCACCCAAGCAACGTTTGGTCATGTTGAAAGCCCCACGGACCAGGAGCCTCTCAAAGGAAAGAGAAGCAGGCAATTGTCCTAAGGATGGCCACTTGATGGCCTGGGTTTCCTCTCACTGCTTGGAAAAAATTCCACTTAATTTTTAACCACAGCGGTGTCAAACTCAAGGCCCTTAGATCTGGCCCACGGGGCCGGCCTGGAAACAGCAAAGGACTGGCTCGCGGTGCCTCTGCCACCAAAAACGGAGTTGGGGACGCCCCCTCCGCCCTGTTTTCGCTGGCGGAGGGCTATCAAAACAAATTAAAAACAAAACAAAAGGAGAAATGTTTCCCCTTTTGCATTTGAGCACGGAAGAAGGGACAGGAAAGGAGAAAGGGAAAGAGGAAAAAGAAGGGAAGACGGGAAGAGAGCAAGGAAGGAAAAATAAGGAAAGAGGAGAAGGAAGGAGAATGAAGAGGGAAGGAGGGAGGAAGGAAGGAAGGAGGGAAGGAAGATTATAATGAGTGTGAGGGAGGGAAATCCTGCCTTGGCCATCACAGGTGCCCCCGAAATGAGTCCCATGTCACGCCCACCATGACCATGCCCCCTTCCAAGGTCAAACACAACCCTGATGCAGCCCTCAATGAAATCGAGTTTGACACCCCTGCTTTGATGTCATCAATGAGGACCTCCTTGGTTCATCTAACTCTTTGGGGTTGGTAAAAGTCGAAGGATTCAGGCAAGATTTCCTCTAGCCGTGACCAGGAGCTGCAAGGGACTCTGCTATTGGCTGCCTGCCTCTGTGCCTCTTGGCTGGATTCAGTCTTTTGATACTGGAGTCATTTCGTGGACCGACGTTGACCAAAACCCAAAGAGGAATGAGAAGGAGGTACACCTTTGCTGGAGGTGTAACTGAAAGACTTTCTTTCTTTCTTTCTTTCTTTCTTTCTTTCTTTCTTTCTTTCTTCTTTCCTTTCTTTCTTTCTTTCTTTCTTTCTTTCTTTCTTTCTTTCTTCCTTCCTTCCTTCTTCCTTCCTTCTTTCCTTCCTTCTTTCTTCCTTCCTTCCTTCCTTCCCTCCCTCCCTCCCTCCCACCCTTGGAGGAAACTGATGGCCTTTTTCACACACAACCATCCCGCTAGCAAAGGACTTCCAACAGGAAGGGGAAGTGGGGGGGAACACGCGGCTCACCGTCAGCAGATGCCGGCCTTGTTTGAAGTCTTTGATCCCGGTCAAGCGGTTCAGCATGCAGCCCAGACCGCCGCATTGCGCCATGACTCCCGCCATCTTGTACACCTCTTCCTCGTCCTCCTCTTCATCTGGGGAGGGGGGGGGAAGAAAACGAGGCTTTCAGGAGAGGAACAACAGCATCAACAAGGCTTGGAGAAAAGATCTCTGCTACTTTTCCTGGGGTGGGGTGGGGGGCAGGCACAACTCTTCAATTTCACAACGTATACCATGTTTCCCCGAAAATAAGACCCCATCTTATATTTTTTTGAACCCTGAAATTAGCGCTTGGCCTTATTGCCATGCGCTCAAAAGCCCAATTGGGCTTATTATCAGGGGGTGTCTTATTTTGGGGGAAACAAGCGAGCTCAGAGAGCACCACGGACCTCACAGTCGTCGTCGTCATCCTCCTCTTCTCCACACACCCCACTTCCATGCCCCTTATCTCCTCCTCCTTTCCTTCTCTTCCTCCTTCACTTCCGCGTCTTTCATTTCCTCCTCCTCCTCCTCTCCACAAACCCCAATCCCTACTAGCACTGATGTTGTGGCCCGTCAGCGGCCTGTGCGGATTGTAGCTGATTCTGACAGCGAGGAGGCTGGTGTGGTGCTGCGCCAGCAGCCTGTGCAGCTGGCACTTGAGTCAGACGATGAGGAGGCTGGAGAAGATGTGGTGCCAGAGGCGGGGATTCAGCCAGGACCTTCAGAACCTCCAGAAGCTCCCTTAAGTGAAGAGGAAGAAGAGGAGGAGCCTCTTCTCAATGCACTGGCGTGCAGAGCGGCCAAAAGGCAGGAGTGGCTCCTCAGGAGGAGGTCTCCTCGAGAGTAAGGCTTGGGGCTAATTGGCCACTCCCTTAGTCTATTTAAGGAGGAACGCCGACTGAAGCAATTTGCAGGGAACAACTTCGTTCACTCTCCTTCGCGTCTTGATCTTAGTGCTCTTATCAGTTTCCTGCAAATTGCTTCTGGGCTTTCTGCCAACCATAGTAAGATTACGATTATTTATTCTTTGGATTCTTGTAGGCTGTTAATTAACAGCCTTCGTTTGAAAAAAAAACTGATTTAATTTAGTAAACTAAGGTTTGTACAGACTTTGTGTGTGCTGCGTTCTTTGGGGTCCGTAGCTGGGGCAGAACAACTGATGATGCTACTTAGTTAGGGTAATGAAACGTCTGCAAGAAAACAAGCGAGCTCAGAGGGCACCAAGGATCCTACAGTTGTCGTCGTCGTCCTCCTCCTCCTCTTCCTCCTCCCCTCTCCACAAACCCTAGTCCCTACTAGCATTGATGATGATGCTATCTAATTTGGGTAATGAAACATCTGCAAGAGAAGAAAGAAGCTCAGAGAGCACCAAGGAACCAGTGGTGGCATTCAAATTTGTTTACTATCGGTTCTGTGGGCGTGGCATGGCTTGGTGGGCGTGGCTTGGTGGGCGTGGCAGGGGAAGGTTACTGCAAAATCCCCATTTCCTCCCGATCAGCTGGGACTCGGGAGGCAGAGAATAGATGGGGGCGGGGCCAGTCAGAATTTTTACTACCGGTTCTCCGAACTACTCAAAATTTCTGCTACCGGTTCATCGGAACTGGTCAGAACCTGCTGAATAGCACCTCTGCCAAGGACCCCTCACAGGGGTTTTCCTTCTGACCCAGCATCCTTGGAAGGTAAGGATGTTTAAAACAGCGATGGGCCAACAGACCTGGTGAATGTATTGGCTAAAAATCAATGCCAGGCCCTGAAAATAACCTTGCCATCTTTTCAGGGTGGGGGACAAAGCATCGGTTTCACAACTTCGGCTCCGAACAAGATAGCCAAACTTCTAAACCAGTGTTTTCTCAACCTCAGCAACTTTAGAATATATGGCTGGCTGGGGGATTCTGGGAATCCGAAGTCCACAAATCTTAAAAGTCACTGAAGTGGAGAAACACGATTCTTAAGCTGGCTCCCATCAGACGCTGGACTCAAGGAACAGCATCCCGTGGCCCCTGGGGAAGGATGGAAGGGCTGTACCTGTAGTGGAATCCAGCGATTCTATGAATTCTTCCGTGGCATCCCCCAACAGGCCCCGCATGCGATAAATTATCCTCATGGGCTCGCCCTGTCAAGGAGAAAAGCGGGAGGATAGACACTTTGGTTAGACAAGTACAGAAGAGGCAGGGAAATTTCCAACGGCTTGAACCATCCTCTAGGCTAGGCTAATCCACTAATGCAGAGTGTTCTGACCTAGGCTTCCCCAGCTACACGAAGCCGAGTCCTCGTCCCGATAATTATTTAATATACAGTGAATTCCTCTCCAGCAAAGTCTTTCCTCTCCCACAGTCTTTCAAGATATAGTTCACAATTACCGAGCTTTATCAGGCTTGGAGAGTGGCCAGGCCAATATCTTTCAGACGCCGCAATACTTGACAAAAATGCAGGAATGAACTGTCTCCTGCAAACTCCCCTCCCCTTTCGCTCCTCTTTTATTCCCTCTGGGAGGGGTCCTTCATCGTCCACCTGTGGCTTTACTCCCGAGTCGCCCCTTGTTCTTTAGCTGTTCCCTTCGTCTGGCAACTCTGTGCATGCACACACTGGGAATAGGATCCAGCTGTTCCTCTGCCTCACTGATGTCTGACTCCGAAGGCAGCTGATAACTGGCATACGGCCCTGGCCCCCTCTCTGCCTCTGACGCAAAGCCCTCATCAGAGCCTTCTCCAGACCCCAGGACTGGCCCAGGTTCCTCACCAACCTCCTCACTTGTCTGAATCTACTGCCAGATCCGCTGGCCACTGGCAGGCCACAACACAGAGTTCCCCAAAGCTTTTGGCTTTGTGGACCGGCGGGAAAGTGGGGGGGAGGGGATGGTTCCACATGTACATGCGTGCACTCAACTCCATTTGCACAAGCGGCAGGTACACGCGAATGGAGCACACACACACCTGCTCTTTGAGCAAGTGGAGAAGCGCGCGCGCTCGCCTGCCACTTCCGCAGCCCGGTTCCAAACAGCTCAAGGCCCAGAGGTGGGCTGTGGCACGGGCGTTGGGGACCCCTGCACTAATGGGCTTCCTCCCATCATGCCGGTGACTTCAGAAACGACACCCCGTCCTTCTTCTTCTTCCCATTAAAGAGCACAGCTCGACACAACTTCGGTGGCAGCGGTGAAGAGGATGTGGCAACCGAGACTGGCTCCTCTCCGTGAAAGCGAGAAGCAGTCCGAGATGCAACTCGCAGCCCCCCACATCCCTACCAATGGCTGAAGAGGCAGCATAGGGAACACATGCCCAAGTGAGGGAACTTCGTATAACCCAGGGGTATCAAACTCGATTTCATTGGGGGCCGCATTAGGGTTCTGTTTGATCTGGGGGGGGGGGTTGGGGGAGCATGGCCAGGGTGGGAGTGGCCAGCTTGACCTCACTCATGTCTGAGGTGCCTGTAAGGTCCTGAATGCTCTACCAGTGCAAACACCCCTCCCGAGCTTCGTCTTTGCTGGCAGAGGACTGCAGGAGGCCGTCTCAGCCGAAAACTGATCACAGAAGGGCCGGGTGTGGCCCACCCGAGCTCCGTTTTTGCTGGCAGGCCCTTCCAGGGGTGGGTTTTACTTACCTTTACTACTGGTTCGCAACGGGGCCGTGTGCACAGGCTTGTTTCCCTCACGTGCGCCCTTTTGCACATGCACAGAAGCTTTTGCACATGTGCAGATCGTCATTTATGACGTCTGGGTGGGTGGGCGGGCGGAGCCTCCCGCCGATTTTACTACCGGTTCTATAGAACCGGACAGAACCGGGTGCAATCCACCACTGGGTCCTTCGCAGTTTCCAGGGCAGCCCCACAGGCTGGATCCAGCCCGCCAGACTTGAGTTTGACACCCCTGGTCTAGCCCAAGGAAATGACGCGGGAGGCAACTCAGTGGGGGGGCATACAAAACCCTCGGCAAAGTCCGTAAGAAAAAAGGCAGTAAAACCATGGCTTAGGACCTGGTTATCTACGGGACCGCCTGCTACCACCAATAGCCTCCCACCGACCAGTACGCTCCCATAGAGAGGGGCTCCTCCGGGTGTCGTCGGCCAAACAATGTCGGCTGGCGGCCCCTAAGGGGAGAGCCTTCTCTGTGGGGGCACCTACGATCTGGAACGAGCTCCCCCCGGAGATATGGAGGATCCCGGATCTGCGCACCTTCCATCACGCGCTTAAGACTTTTTTATTTCATCAAGCTGGCCTGGCCTAAATCTTCTCCCCTTTTTAAATGTAAATTTTAATTTGTTTTAAATTATGGGGTATTTTAAATTCAGCCAAATTATTTAATTCGTTTTTAATCTATTTTAAATTTTTGTATTTATGTGTTTTATCTTGTGGCTGTTCACCGCCCTGAGTCCTTCGGGAGAAGGGTGGTATAGAAATTTAATAAAATAATAATAAATAAATAAAATAAATAAATAAACTAGAACTGGTTGGAGTCCCTAGAAGATCCAGAACTGGCCTTGGACGGAGCCTGGACAGGGCTGAGAGTTAAATCTGGATCTGTCCTCTTTCTTTCTGTTTCACCCAACAGAAACCAACGGTGGCTTCCACGTAGGCAGGTTTGACCCTCAGGAACTAAAGGAAACATACAGACACGTGTGTGTGTCTGTGTGTCTGTGTGTGTATGACAGGTTAATTAGATTGGCACCTTCAAAGGAAGGGCGGGGAGGGGGAGAGAAAGGAGAGACATCTCCTACGGATGAGAAGGAAACAGGAGTGGGGATGGCTTGGGGGGCTGGGGGGGTGGGGTGGGGGAGGTAGGTGGCTGGGAAAAGAAAGTGACAATTTAATAAGCTTTTAATACCCAAATGGGGTATTAGAAAAGTGGCAAAGCCCGGGAAGGCCCCGTTTACAACTTTCCCCACGGAGACAAGGGCGCCTCTTTCAAGTCCGAGGCCCCAGACGCAGAAGGCGAGTTTCCGTTTTAAGATCCTTGAAGTCTGAACGGGGAAGAGGGGGAAAAGAATAGGGGGCGAGGGCAAGGCGGGTGGGGGTGCCATTCTGTCGTTGGGAGGAGGAGGAGACTTTGTTGGGGTGGGGGGGAAGAAAGGGGCAAAGCCGGAAGAGCAAAGAGGACCTGTCAAGAAGGCAGCCGCTAAGCCCGGCGCCGAATAAGCCGGCGCTTAATGTCAGAGGAGATTCTGAGCGCGGCTGGGGAAGCCCCAAGGGGAAATGGGGGGGGCTCGATGGCTGGGGCTCTAAAGAAGAAGCAGCAGCAGCAGGGGCCGTGAGGAGAGCTGGTCAAAGGCTGAACCCCAAAGGAGGCAAGGAGAAAAAAAAAAAAAACCCATGGGCCTGGATGCAGACTTTTTGGGGGAGTCACTGTTCCTTTCCAGGAAGCTAAGAGGGAGAGAACTGATGGGGGGGGGGGGGAGAATGGCATCCGGGGTTTGCGGGCTGCCGTGTTGTTGTTCCTGGACTTTTGGGCAAGCAGCCGAGAGGCAAAATAGCAGGTAAATTGGAAGGGACCTTGGAGGTCTTCTAGTCCAACCCCCTGATCAAGCAGGAGATCCTATACCATTTCAGACAAACGGCTGTCCAGTCTCTTCTTAAAAACCTCCGGCGATGGGAGCACCCACAACTTCTGTTCCACTGCTTAATCGTCCTTGCTGTTAGGAAGTTTCCCCTTCATTCCAGGTTGCTCCCCTCCTTGATGAGTTTCCGTCTGTTGCGTCTTGTCCTGCCTTCTGGCGCTTTGGAAAATAAGTTGACTCCCCCCCACTTTCTTTGGGGCAGCCCCTCAAATACCGGAAGACAGCTATCATGTCCTCCCTGGTCCTTTTCTTTTCTCTAGACTGGCCCAAACCCAAATCCTGCAACCGTTTTTCGTAGGTTTTAATCTCCAAGCTTTTAATCATCTTAAGTTGCTTTCCAAAGCCTCAACGTCCTTTTTTTGTTAAAGCGGTGAACCAAAAGAGGATGCAGAACTCCGGGTGTGGCCTTACTAAGGCTTTACAAAGCGGTACTATCCATCCAATGCTTTTTTTTTTGTTCTGCCTTCAGGTGCTTTGGAGGACAGGTCGGGAAGAGGCTTCTGGGTTGGCTCTCTTTGTCTCCAAATTCTTTAACTTGCCCCACGGGGCAAGGGTTGTTGAAGGCCTTGTTTTAAAACTAACAGCAAGCCCCAAAGTTTTGTTCCTTAGAAAGCAGGAAGCAAATGCTTAATTCCAGCCAAATCTCTTTTATTTACCTGACTGTGAATTACTGTCATTCACAGTCAACAAGGCTTTGGCAAACAGTCTTTCAGAGGAATGTTTATCAACACCGACCATATCTCCCTTGGAACGCTGCCAGAGAGCCAATTTCCAAAGGCAGGTCGAGGCCAAACTTGGCACAGAGTCTATCAAGAGTCACGAACAGAACTTTCCTATCTTGAAATGACCTAATGGAACTAATTGCTTCCTGCAAAAGCCCACGTCCCATTTGCTCTTCTTTTATGTCCTATGGCAGGGGCCAATTATCTCCAAGGTGTGGCCTTACTCCCGAGTCGACCCTGCTTTCTGAGTTGTTCTTGACTTCTGGCAGCTCTGAGCACGCGCACAATGGGAACGGGATCCAGCTGTTCCTCTGCCTCTCTACTGTCAGCCTCTGGAGGCTCCGGAGTCCGCATATCACTCCCCGATGGCCCTGGCCCCATCTCTGCCTCCAACGCAGAGCCCTCGTCCGAGCTTTCCCCAGCCCCCAGGACTGGCCCATGTTCCTCCCCAACTTCCTCACTGTCCAACTCTGCTGCCAGCTCTGCTGGACACCGGCAGGCCACTACAGCTCTGGGGGAGCAAGGAAGTGCCCGCTCTCGCCAGCTAGGGGCACTCTGAGATGAAGTTAGCCGTCGTAATTCGGAGGATGGTGCCTAGTATGAACAGAAGAGACTTTTCCAGCAGAAGCCGCCCAGCCTCTGTTCGCACGTACTCATGTCAGTTGAGAATTTTCTGAGTGAACTCCAAAAACAAGCCAGGATGAGCCTCTTCGTTGGCTGGGTGTTTTGTGTGGACCTCACTCACACAAGGCCCCGTGTGAGCCCAGGGAAAAAAAAAAGTGTCAATTAATTCTGCAACCAGAATTAAGATAGCCACAGCCCAGCGTAGCCAGCAGCTTTCTACTGTTATTCCAGACAGAAAATATTTTCTTAAGATTTAATGGATTAACTAGGAACGCTTTTAAACAATCGCGTAGTCGTAGTTGTATTTTTTGGGGGGGCTTTGTGTCAAATGTTATATTATTTATAATATATATATATAATCTGCTGAACAAAACTCAGCTCTGGCAACAGGAAGGGCATCCGGCCAATAAAACACTCAGCTCCATCCAGTTGCCCAGACACTGCCCCGCAAGGGATTATGGGGGTCATTAAAAGAGGATTACTTAGAACCATGACACTGACTGCTTTTCTCCACCACTAAGGATCCAGTCCTCGGATCGTGGGGAAAAGAGTTGGATTGTAATGTTCAGCGATGGTGCAGATGAAGACATGCACTCGTGAGCAAGTAATCGGGAGCCCCCCCCAAAAACACAATGGGCTCTGGGATGCACAGTCAGTAAACGAACTGTTGTAAGTTAAGGACTGCTTGTGTTCTCTCTCTGCTACCTATCTAGAATCCCTTCTCATTCCCATCCATTTACGGGGCTCCGCGATGAAAATGCAGGCTTTTGCTCAAAAAACTGTCACCGCATTCAAAGCCGGGGCCATTTGGAGACACGCGTCTGAATGAATTAATCTCCCGGCTGCTTTCCCGACAAGCATGAGATTCTTTTGAACTCAGATGACAAGGCAGGGTTATTTTAACATATTCATTCCTAGAGGCTTTCTGGGGGATAATACCCAAAGTTTGGCACCGAGAGTTAAAGCAAAGATATCCTTAATCCCCTCCCGAAAATGCTCGGCTACAAAGGTATTTTGAATTTTTGATAGCACACAGGCAACGGGCCTTTTCTCTTTCCCTGGGATAAAATCATCATCTCCGCTATAAAAAAAACCCCGGATGCTGTTTATCGCCAGGAAAGGCCGTCTTATCGGCTTCCTAATTTGGGCCCGTAACTCTCTCCTGACATACCTAGATGGGGCCCATCATGCGACGGATGCTCGGGCTAAGCGACGTTAGGCGGATTGCAGGAAACAAAAAAAATAAAGTAAAATAAAAAATAGAGAAGAAACAGGAGGCTGAAGGAATTAAAAGACGGAAAAGGGAATCTCTCTGAGAGAGGGTTTCAAGGCTGCTCTGCTCAACCGAAGCTTCCCTAAAATGATTTTTTTTTCTTCTTCAATAAAGGTGAGAATTCATCAGTAGGAGGTTTGCTAGGCCAGAGGTCCCCAACACGCAGGTCACGGCCCACCTCCGGGCCTCGAGCCATTTAGAATCAGGCCATGGAAGTGGCAGGTGAGAAGAGCAAGTGAGCACGGAACCAACCCCCTCTTCCTCCCCGCCGATCCGCAAAGCCGAAAAAGGTCGGGGAACTCTGTGCCAGGCTACCAACAACCTGCCCCAAAGCAGCCAATACAAGAACCAGCACGGCCGTTTGGGGCCAACTCTGACTTGCAGCAAAGCCTGTTTTTTTCCCACACCGAGACTCCCTGTCAACTCTCAAAATTCGATTCTAGCTGAAGCCATATTTTTCTTGCTTCGTTTCTTAATTGCCACTTATTTGGCGGAGGGGGGGGCAGAGGTGGTATTCAGCCGGTTCGCACAGGTTCAAGCGAACCGGTAGTAGCAACCTGCAGGTGCCCCCCCCCTCTCCTCCCCGGTGCTATGCCATCCTATTTAGGCTCATTTTGAAGCCGCGCACATGTGTGCAAGCCGTGCGCACGAGCAAAGCACATGCGTGGAAGGCCAGACGTATGTGTGCGTGCTCACATTTGCGAACCGGTAGGGAAAGTAATTGAATACCACCTCGGGGGGGCGCGGGACGGGACATTTATGGAATGTAGGATGTCTTCCTCCAATGTGCCAGACACAACGACGATAAGGCTCCTAAGGACCAAAGCCAAATCGGCCTAACAACAGCAGGAGAAAGGGCTGAGAAGTTCATCGCCTGCTTGGTTGACTAATGTGACCTGTGACACAGAGGGGTGGACGGATATCTGCTGAACAAAACTCAGCTCTGGTGACAGGAAGGGCATCCGGCCAGTAACCATTGAGCTCCATTCAGTTGCCCAGACTCTGCCCCGGAAGGGATTATGTGGGTCATTAAAATAAGATTACTTAGAACCATGACTCTGACTGCTTTTCTCCGCCACTAAGGATCCAGTCCTCGCACCACGGGGAAAACAGTTGGATTGTAATGTTCAGCGATGGTGCAGATGAAGACATGCACTTGTGAGCAAGTAATCTGGAGCGTACCCGAGATTACTGTGCCTGAACACAATGTGCTCTGGGATGCACAGCAGGAAAAGATAGAGGAAAAAGAGGGGAGAAATCTTGGGGGGGGAAGGAGACAGTGGCCAGGCCAGGGCACAGAGTGTGTTCATTCCAAGATCTCAGGGAAGGGAGACGCCGAAAAGGACCCCTCACCTCGTTTGTCGGGCACCAGACTTTCTTGTACACTTCGGCCACCGGGAGATCCAAGCTGATGATCTTGTTGTTCACCAGAAGCTGAAAGAAACAGGAGGGAAAGAGAAAAAAACACAGACAGCGGGGAGGTGAACGAGGACGTCGATTTAAAAACGGAGAAGGGCTGCTGCTTTTTGGAAAACAGGCCCCTCTACCCAAAGCACAGAAAAGCCACCAGGGAGCCCTGGACGGACCGCCAAGGAAAAAAAGCCAGGCTTCGAAAAGCGAAGGAGGGTCTGCACAAAACCCCGGCCCCCCTCCCAGGCTTGGGAAAACGTGGCCCACACCCTCCGGCTTGATCCCGCTCGCACGGCATCCTCACCTCCATCCCGCTGTCGTCTTCCAGCAGAGCCACCAAGTCGCAGTCCTGGCAGATCTTGTTCTTGATGTCCCTCATCAGCGGCCCGATGCCCGGCTCGTTGCTGCTGTAGGGGTTCCCGGGCATCCGGCCCTGCAGGAAATCCTCTTGCTGAGGGTCCTTCTCCAGCGTGACGAAGAACTCCGTCACTTCGTTCTCCTCCTGAGAGAGGCGGGAAGCGCAGGGGTGAGAAAGAAAAGCCCTGTCTCCTGCCCCACCCAACAGCTCTGTGGTGCCATCCATGGCGGACAGTTGCCAAGAGCCCCAGACTGTGCTGCCCTTTGCCCTTCACGGGGCCTTGAAGGTCAGGGCAGAGGCCCATCCTAAAACTGCCCTTCCCGGGTCACGAGAAAAGAGCAAAGAGTCGAAGCAGTGGCTCCCCAAAGTCATTAGGGACGAGCCGAGTTAAGCACCCCCTTTGGCCTCTCTGTTCCAGCGGCTCCCTGGCCGGGCAGGATCAGGGCCAGGTTGAAACACACACACACGCCCCTTACCGGGTAGATGATGCTACAGAGTCTCTCGAAGATGAAGACGGGCGTCCGGTAGTCGTCCAGGCTGTAGCGTTTGGCGGTTTCGATGCAGACGGCCATGAAAGCCTTGGTCTCGGACTCTGTGCCTGCGGGCAAGTTTGATCGGAAGGGAGAGAGGAGGGGAGGAGGGTGGGGCTCACTGGGGCGTGTTCCCCGACGTGGCCTCCTTCCCTGGGATGGGCTGATCCCACCCAAAGGAGCAAAGAAGCCCCACGTGCGTTCTTTCTCAAAACTAAGTAGCTAAGTTGACGGTTTCCTTTTTCTTTTGAAGAACAGGAACTGTGGTGGCGCAGTGGTTACAGTGCAGTATTGCAGGCTACTTCTGCTGGCTGCCGGCTGCTGGCAATTTGGCAGTTCAATCCTGACCAGCTCAGGGTTGACTCAGCCTTCCATCCTTCCAAGGTGGGTAAAATGAGGACCCAGATTGTTGGGGGCAATATATGCTGACTTTGTAAACCGCTTAGAGAGGGCTGTGAAGCACTGTGAAGCGGTATATAAGTCTAAGCGCTATTCCTTCCTCCCTCCCTCCCTCCCTCCCAGTGGTTAGAATGCAGTATTGCAGGCTGACTCTGCCCACTGCCAGGAGTTCAATCCTGACTGACTGGCTCAAAGTTGACTCAGCCTTCCATCCTTCCGAGGTGGGTCAAATGAGGACCCAGATTCTTTGGGGGCAAGAGGCTGACTCTGTAAACCGCTTAGAGAGGGCTGTGAAGCACTGTGAAGCGGTATATAAGTCTAAGAGCTATTGCTATCTTCCTTCCTTCCTTCCTTCCTTCCTTCCTTCCTTCCTTCCTTCCTTCCTTCCTTTCCTCCCTCCCTCCCTCCCCGTAGTTAGAATGCAGTTTTGCAGGCTAACTCTGCCCACAGCCAGCAGTTCAATCCTGACCAGCTCAAGCTTGACTCAGCCTTCCGTCCTTCTGAGGATGGTAAAATGAGGACCCAGATTGTTGGGAGGGACGATGTGCTGGCTCAGAAAACCGCTTAGAAAGGATTGCAAAGCACTGTCAAGCAGTAAATAAGTCTAAGTCCTATTGCTATTGCTATCTCAAGTAGAGAGAAAATCGCTCTTTAGGCAGAGCAATTCCTTCTTTCCCCCCTTGCTGAGGCCAGGAAGGCTGGCATTGGTGTAGGCCGAACCAAGTCAAGGATGCCCCCCCCACCCCGCCACGCCGTCTACCTGTGGTCATGTCTTCCAGCATCTCCAGCAACATGTCCTGGGTCTCGTCGATCAGCTTGGTGCGCTGCACCACCAGTTTCCGCAAGCAGAGGTAGCCGTTGAGCACCGTCCCCACCAGCCGGCTCTTGAAGTGGCGCTTGATGGACTCGACTTCCACGAAGGAGGACAGGAGGCCTAGTAGGAGGGGAGGGCAGGGAAGGCTGCTGAGCAACATGGCCCGGCCAGGAGCCTGTGGCTCCTCAGAGCCCAAAGAAACCAAAGGGGGTGGGGTAGGGGAGAAACACCTCGCGGCTGCCCTACCGGTGATGCTCTTGAGAGCGTAGCCCTGCTGCAGGTCGGTGCTGAGGGTGGCTTCCTCCAGGGCCAGGAGACGGGCGATTTCCTGAAACGGAGAGATGTCCAGCCTTGAAGAAAAGAGGCCCAGAATGGCCGGGGAAGGGAGGAAGACCAAGACTGGTCCACCGGGGAATAGGGGAGCTAAGCATCGGGGGAAAAAAGGCTGGTTTTAACCTTCCAGAGTCTGAGCTGAACGTCTCAGGAGCAAGCTGTAGCTTTTCCAGCTCTTGTCAGACTCCACTACCCATCCTCCCCAGCCGCTGTCCTTGTGGGATGGGCCAATGAGGTGCCCAACAAATGCTGCTCTGGAGGGTGAACGTGGTTCCCAAAGCAGCGAGGGGTTTTTGTATTGTTTCAAAATGAAGCGGAGGAGTTAGAGCCCTCTCCCCTCCCAGTCCGGGGTGGGGGAGGGGGCTCCGTACCTTGGTGATCAGATTGCCGACATAAGGCAGGACCCCCCTGGCCGCCAGGTAGACCTTCCAGCGGGCCGGCTTGATGAGCTTCTGGTAGAGGGCCAGGTACTCGGCGGCACACTCGCCCGCCACGCTCAGCTCGTCCAGGTAGCTGGCAGAAAGAAGGGAGGAGGAGGCCGTCCGGACGTCAGAAAGACGAAGGGGGGACGGGGGGGGGGGGGGGGGGGGGGCCCCCTCCCTTACCTGCCCTGGGCCTTACCTGGTCAGCAGGTCGAGGACTTGCTGCTTGCGGCTGGGGATGGTGGCCAAGGCTTCCACGATGGTGCAAGCTGCCTGCCGGGCTGCTTGGGTTGCTGGGGTGAACAAGACCTGGAAACCAGGGGGGGAGGAGAAGGCAGGAGATGCCCCCTGGGCACTCACATGGCATGGATCCCACCCCGTTCCTTGGAGAATCTTCTGCCCCCCCCCCCCCCCCCGGCCTCAGGATGGCACTGCTTCTTGGCATCGCCTTCTCCAAGAGTCTGGTCTTTTTTCCTTCTCCTCCCACTTCCCTCCTCCTTTTTCCTCTTCATCTCCTCCTCTTCTTCTCCCACCTTCTTCCTCTTCTCCTCCTTTTCCTTCCCCTTCCTTCCACTTTTCCTCCCGCTTTCACTCCTTCATCTTCTTCTTTTTCTTCCCCTCCTTCCTCTTCTCCTCCTCCTCCTTTTCCTTCCTCTTTTCCTTCTTCCTCTTCTCCTCCTCCTCCTTTTCCTTCCCCTTGCTTCCACTTTTCCTCCCTCTTTCACTCCTCCATCTTCTTTTTTCTCCCCTCCTTCCTCTTCTCCTTCTCTCTCCTCCTTTTCCTTCCTCTTTTCTTTCTTCCTCTTCTCCTCCTCCTCTTCCTTCCTCTTTTCCTTCTTCCTCTTCTCCTCTTCTTCCTTCCTCTTTTCCTTCTTCCACCTCCTCCTCCTCCTCCTTCTTTCCTCTTTTCCTTCTTCCTCTTCTCCTCCTCCTTTTCCTTCCTCTTTTCCTTCTTCTTCTCCTCCTCCTCTTCCTTCCCCTTCCTTCCACTTTTCCTCCCTCTTTCACTCCTCCACCTTCTTCTTCTTTTCTTCCCCTCCCTCTTCTCCTCCTTTTCCTTCCCCTTCTTCCTCTTCTCCTCTTCCTTTTCCTTCCCGTTCCCCTTCTCCACCTCCTCTTCTCCTTCCCCTCCACCTTCTTTCTCTCCTCCTCCCTCTTCTTCCCCTTCCCCTCCTTTTTCCTCTCCTCACCGCTCCCCCCCCCGATAAGTGTATCGATGTGTCTCACCAGCCGCAGCCAATTGTTGTGTCCCAGCTTGAGGTCCAGGGGGCAGGTCCTCTTCCCCCGCTTGCTCATGAACTGCTTCCACTTCCAGGCGTACTTCTCCGTCAGGTAGAGGTGGCGGAGCTCCGTTCGCCCGGGAGATTTCCCGTTGGCTTCAAGGCCTGAAAGATGGCAAAGCAGCAACGCGAGTGGAGCTGCAGGGTGGGGTGGCTGCTGTCCCGCTGGGGGAGGAAGCCAGGAAGGGTGGGGTGAGAGTGTGGGGGGGAGAGAAACATACCTCTGGCAAGGAGGCACTTCTTCCACACCTCGTAGGCGGCCTTGGGATCCCTCTTGAGCCACAGCTGGGCCTGGGCGTGGATCTCATTGCTGTAGGGCTTGACCGTGGTCAGGGAGTCCACCGGCGTGTCCTGGGGAGCCCAAAGAAGAGAGTCTGGAAGGGCCTCGAGACATCGCTGCTGTAACCGGGCGCCCACACACCTGAGGCTGGGATGGGGGTGGGGAGGGAGGGAAGCCGGGACAACTACCTTGTTCTTCTTGCTGGTGGGCGCCGGGGGCTTGATCAGCTTCTGAAGGATCCGTAGACACATCAGGGTGATGTTTTCCACCACCACCGGCGTCTTGATGTTCACGGCCATGAGGAAGAGGCTGAGGGCTGGGCCAAAGCGAACAAGGGGGTCAGAATCGGGCCAGAGACCCCAGAAATAACATTTCCCCCTCCCCTGCTGGCTTTTCTCCCAGTGGGGATGGCGCCTCTCTCCTCTGGGTGTGTGTGTGTTTCACATAATTTTACCACTGGTTCGCCGCGCACCGAAAATGTGAGCGCGTGCCTTCCATGCATGGGCACAGCCTTCCGCGAATGAGCTTTGCTCTCGTGTGTGGCTTGCACACATGCACACGGCTTAGAAAACGTAGCTAAATAGGACGGCGTAGCGCCCGGGGGCCACGACCAATTCGCCCAAATAGGTGCGAACCGGCTGAATGCCACCACTGCTTCTCCCTCTCCTTTCCCCCCCCCTCCGCGACATAACTGGCCTGCCGAGCCCCGGGACTCACCGCAACGCAGGCGCAATTCCCAGCAACTGTCCTCTTTGGAGATGGAGTCCGTCAGCAGCAGCATCTCGTACTGAAGGCTGCTGGCCTATGAAGGGGGTGGGGGGGGGGAGAGAAAGAAAGGATAGAGTAAGGGGTGTTGCATCTAGGTTTTCCAGGTTGTTGAAGGAGCCGGGAAGACCCCGAAGCTGGTGTTGTGGTCCGCCAGCAGCCTGCGGAGCTGGCAACGGAGTAGGACAGTGAGGAGGCTGAGGAAGAACATGGGCCAGTGCTGGAGGCTGTGGAAGGCCCGGATGAGGGCTCTGCGTCGGAGGCAGAGATGGGGCCAGGGCCATCGGGGAGTGTTGTGCGGACTTCGGAGCCTCCAGAGGCTGACAACAGAGAGGCAGAGGAACAGGAGGAGCCTGTTCCTAGTGCACGTATGAGAAGAGCTGCCAGAAGGCAGGAGCAGATAAAGCAGAGAGGACGACTCGGAAGTAAGGCCAAGAGATGATTAGCCCCTCCCATAAGGCTTAAAAGACCAGCAATGGCTCTTGGCCTCTTTGCCGGAAAACAACATTGAGAGAATTTGCTTCTTGTTTCACTGTATTCATTTCTTGTCAGCGTCTCCTGCTTCTGAACTGTTGCCAAGAAAAGCCTTTGGCCATTTGCCTAATTATACCAAGGTCGGTGATAAACTGAGGAATGGTGTTTTGAAGAATTTGCTTTAATTTAGTTTGGACTACGCTGAGAATGAGTTAGTTCTCAGCTGTTGTAATAAAGTCTGTTTGTTTTCGAACTGTTTGCATTTAATACTAACTACTTGGGCCTGGGTCACAACAGCTGGTTCATCCCTTTGGCAGGAAAGGGGAAGGGCAGTTTTGGGGTGCCGAGGCTGGAAGCTCATTTTACAGAGGGGCCCCAGCCCAAGTGGCCACCAGGGAGGGAGGCAGGGAGAAGAAGAGATGGGCCAATACTGCTCACCAGATCAGGATTGGCCCAATGGCCCTTCAGAGCTGCGGACACTTTGCTGATGATGAGGTCGTTCATCTGCTGTGTGGCTTCTGGGTTGTCTCTGGTTGGTGACGGAGGATAAAACAAAAGCATCTTTAAAATGTCACAGGGTGCTCCAACACACACACACACACACACAAATACACACATATCCAGCTCATGTCATAACCCCAACACCCAGGACGTCTTTCCTGAGAGAACACGACTTGAAAGCGGACTAGCCAGTTGTGTTAGCTGTAAGAAACAGGTGGATGACCCCAAGTCCAGCCCGGGCTTGAATGCCTGTCTTATCTCCCGCTCATTTCCCTTCACTGTTAGTTGGCCAGATTCTTAGAGAGAGCTTAAGCTCGCAATAAATCCTTATACTCATTACTGGAACTGCCTGAATTTCCCCCGCGCTTGACAGGCAGGTCAAGCAGTACAGGTGGAAGGTAGATGGATGGAGAGATGGAGAAAGAGGATAGAAGTCACCGATGGAAGCTTATCAAAGAGAGACTCTCCAACTCTCTCTCCCTAGAAAAAGGGAGAAATTTCCTGACAGAACAATTAATCAGTGGGACCGCTTGCCTCCAGAAGTTATGGATGCTCCATCAATGGCAGTTCTCAAAAAAGAGATTGGGCAGATATTTATCTGGAAGCCTCAAACAGAAGGTTGGACTAGAAGACCCCTAAGATCCCTTCCAACCCCATTGTTCTGTGTTCTAAGTATGTTCCTCCAAGTTCAGCTTTAACTCATGGTCAGGTCTGCCAACTTCGGCTTGGCCCCTCGCTGGCATCCTGCCATCAAAGGCTCTGGGGCAGGGGACATGGGGAGAACAAACGGGCAATAAACATGTATGTGGAGGTGATGGGAAATAGGGAGGGAGGATGACAGCTTGACGAAGACCAGGCAAAGATGGAACCAGTTTGTGCCAGCGCTCAAGGCCATGCAGCTTGAGATTGGAATGTGGACTACCCCAAACACCTCAGCATTTCTCAAAACACCTATGCCAGTGATGGCTAACCTTTTTGCCATCCCATGCCAAAAGCGGGGGGAGACCGGGGGGGGAGCATGCGTGTGCCCACACCCATAATTCAATACCCCCCCATGGCCCCGTGCATGCACGCACGACCTCCCCCTGCTTTTGGCATGCAACACCAAAAAAGTTAGCGGTGGGCCCAGTAGGCCTGTTTTTTGCCCTCCCCAGGCTCCAGAGGCTCTCTTGGGTGGGAGGTGGGAGGGCAAAAACGGCCTTTCCCACCTCCCCGGAGGCCGGAAATGCCCCGTTTCCCGACTTCTGTTGGGACTGGAAGGCCTGAAAATTAGCTGGTCGGTGCGTGAATGCACGCTGGAGCTCAGCTAAGGCAATGCTCGTGTGCCCACAGATACGGCTCCGTGTGCCACCTGTGGCACGCGTGCCATAGGTTCGCCATCACGGACCTATGCAGTTCATCATTGGCTGAAGACTAACTGGTGATGAAGGGAGGGTTGGGATGAGGAGAAAACTTCATAGCTTTTCTGTGCAGGAAATTTAGTTCTAGCCTGATTTTATGGCAGCCAGCATCTTTTAGTAAAAGAACCCGTCACTTCAATTAAATAGAGTCGAGGGTCTTTCTTTCCTAAGGGATCGGACTGGGGCAGGTCTGACACTGATCTTCAGTACTAAGTGGGTTCAAGGGCCCAAGGTTCTCCATAGGCAAAGCCAATCCAATGCAAGAGGCTGTCTGGGTTCCACTGTTACCGATCCTTGGAAAAAGGCAAAAAGGAAGGAGGGGAGGCAGCTAGTCGAGGCCCACCTAGTGAGGAGGCACATGAGCTGGCGGACGTCCTCCCTCATGCTGGCAGCCCCTCGGCGCAGGTTGTAGTCGAAGAGCTCGCGGATGAGGCCCTGGGAGACCAGGATGTGGCGGATGGCGGCGTTGGTGGCCAAGGCGCGGAGCAGCGTGATGCAGTGCTCGGTGACGGCTGAGGCACAGCCGTAGCATTTGGTGGAGGAGGTGTGGCCGCAACCCAAGACCGAGAGGGCGCGGTACTGGCTGGCGGTGAAGGTGGGCTGGACAGCCGAGCGGGAGGACTTGCTGGCGGCCTCTCTCTGCTGGAGGTCGTACTCCAGGAGCTCCTTCCGGGAGGCAAACACTTTCTGGGGAGAGGATAACAGAAGAGAGGGGGATGAGCCAAGATGGAGGCTTAAGCTGAGTAGGGCCTCAGGTGGTCAAGGAGCTGAATGTCCATCAGAGCTGCCTAAGACAGACTAGCATAGGGGTCCCCAAATCTCGGGCCGCAGCCCACTACTGGGTCACGAGCTGTTCAGAACCAAGTGACCTGAAAGTAGGAGAGTGCACATATGCACTCCATTTGCACGAGCAGAGGTCGAGCTTTCTCACGGCTTGCACAAATGGAGCTGCACACACACGCACGCTTGCCGACCACTCGCGTGGGACCACCCACACCAGGCCGCAAAGCCGGAAAGATTGGGGAACTCTGGGACTAGCAGACATATTCAGCCCTGACGAAGCCTGGCCTGAATGCACCAGAACGTTTCTGATCTCAACAGCCAACCTGTTGAAAGGGGTGGGCAAGGCCAGTTCATGGGGAATTCTGGCACGGGCCAGATTACGGAAGGGATTACCCAGATGATCTTGGGAGTGGCCCAGATTACCTGGATGATCTTGGAGAGCTCGTCAAAGGAGTTCTTGCAGTCGCCACAGTACTCCTGCGCCAGCTGTAAGATGTACCTGTTCACGCTGGCTGAGGTGGAGCTGAGGCCTCCACTGCCCCCGGAGTCATCCTGCCACAGAAAGGAGGGGAAAAGGTCAGGCCAAGATGGCTTTGCCTCACCCGGAGTCCGCCCAGAGCGGCCTTTACCCTCTCTCTCTACCTGTGGCTTTTCGGGCGCCGCCTCGTTCACTTTGCAGAGCAGGTTCTCCAACTGAGGTCGGTGGCCCATCAGCTGGTGGTAGACCCGGTCGGCCTTGTCCAGGAGGGTGTTGATGTTGGTCACGGCCTGGCAGGTGAAAATGCCACAGCACCCCGATTATGCGTTGGCTTAACTAAACAACCCTGGGCTCCCGAGGTTTCGGGGACAGCAAAATTCCTGCCAACCTCCAGACAAAGCAGGTCTCTAGGTAATAAGCTTGGGGATCAAGCAGCGATCTGCCTCCCAGACAGTGAATGGAAGCTTTTTGGCTCACTCCAATGTCCGGCACACAGGCTGAGCTCTTTTTCCGACCCAAACCAGACAGTGGGTCGCTTTGGGTAACAGGGAAAGCTACCCAAGGGCCAAGGTGGAGCATGAAACTCTATTCTGGAGATTTGGAGTTTCCGTAAACACCGGTAATCCTCGACTTATGATCACAATTGAGCCCAAAATTTCTGTTGTTCAAGTGGGACGTTTGTTTAATGAGTTTTGCCCCCATTTTACAACTTTTCTTGCCGTAGTTCTTAAAGCTGCACGATAAAATTAGTAACCCGGTTGTTAATTTATTTTATTTTTATTTATTTATTTTTATTTATTTTGTCACATTTCTGTGCCGCCCAACTCCCAAGGGACTCTGGGCGGTTAAGTGAATCGGGCTGTCCCATATGACTTTGCTTGTCAGGAGGTCGCCCGAGGGGATCACGTTACCCCAGGGACACGGCAATGGACCATAACCAGTTGCCAAGTGTCTGAATTTGGATCCCGTAACCATGGGGGAATGCTGCAAAGGTCGTAACTGTGAAAAACAGTCCGAAGTCACTTTTTTCAGCACCGTTGTAACTTTGAATGGTCACTAAACAGACTGTTGTAAAGTCAAGGACGACCTGTACAGCGTTGGGGGTAGAACAGGCCCTTTTAAAGATGGACAAATGGTTTCCTGGGGGGAGGGAGGCAGCAAAATCTCACTCCACCCCACTCCCCCCAAAAGGCAGGCCTCCTCCTCCTCCTCCCGCCCCTGACCTTCTTCCGGTCCTCTTCGTTCTCGATGGGGTCCACGGCGCAGCACGGTTTGGCGAACAGCATGAAATCAAAGCGGGCGTATTTGCAGAAGCCGCAGGCGTTGCAGAGAAAGGGGTCCTTCTCATCGTAGTTGATCGACCTGTAAGTCAACACCGAGGGGGGTCCCCCGCTGAAATCTCATCATCGCTCCCCCACCTCCCCAAAGAGATTCCCCCTCCCCAAATCTCCTTCTAGGACTGGTCGTAGGACCCCAGCTAAAGAGCCAGGAGAACCCCAAGATTTCTGCCCTTGGGGCAGGGTTCACCCGAGGTCACCCCTTCCTCCATCCTGGAGCTCCCTGGAGTGGGGGGAGAAGAGGGGCTAAGCTCACCCACCGGCACTTGTGGCACTGGTAGACGTTCTCCCCACAGTTTCCGCAGACTCCGGGGTTGGCGGGGACCGAGGCGCTGCATCGGGGGCACTGCAAGGTTTCCGTGGAGGCCTGGTAGTTCTCGTAGAAGTCGGCAAATTCGATCATCAGATTGGAGGCCACGATGGGCAGGGGAAGGTCGATCTTCACTTCCGTCTGGCCGGGGGTCAGCTGGACCTTCTTGGCTTTGTGCCAGCGGGCCGGCCTAAAGATGGCAGGAGCGGGGGGGGGGATGCAAGGGGGGGGGGGGGGTGGGGAGGCCAACAATGAGAACCAGGCACAAAAGTCCACTTCTGCTCTTCTGCTCCACTCCCGGGAAAACTAAGCATTCCTGTTAGCCCTCATGCTGAAAACGAGATGAGCCAAGCGAGATAAAGAATTAAGGCATTTTCCCCCCCCCTCCTCAGCAGCGATGAATGAATCGAGCCATCAAGACTCCATGGGGAGGAGACTGAAAAAGAAGCCGTGTTCTACTTGTGGGCAAAGGAGCTTTGCCAAAACCAGAAAAGAAACATCCAGGAGAAATGAGGTAAATTGAGGACGCAGTTTGTGGGGGCAATAAGCTGACTTTGTCTAAATATACAAAAGTATGAAGGCTATTGCTTAACGCATTGTAAGCCGCCCTGAGTCTCCGGAGAAGGGCGGCATATAAATCAAATTAAAAAAAAATCCTGCAGCTTGTGGCTGAGGAGCATGTCTGGCTGTCTGTCTGTCTGTCTCTCATCTATATCTAGCATCCATGTCTGTCTGTTTCTCTCCATCCATCCATCATATCTTATCATCTATTTCTATCTGTAACTATCTATCTACATTTCTATCGATTGTTTATCTATTTCTATCTCTATCTCTCATCTCTCTCTCTCTCTATCTCAACATCTATTTCTATCTATCTATAACTATCTACCATTATCATCTATATTTCTATCTATTATGTTTATTTATTTCTATTACTGTTTCTCCCCGAAAATAAGACCCCGTCTTATATTTTTTTCAACCCTGAAATAAGCGCTTGGCCTTATTTTCGGGGAGGTCTTATTATTTTGGGGTACATGGAGCAAGATGGGGCTTCTCTTGCTGTCTTACCTGATTTCCAGCTTTGTGTTTTAAATATTTTCGGAAGGAGGCTTATTTTAGCGCATGCGCTCAAAAGCCCGATTGGACTTATTATCAGGGGATCTTATTCTATCTATCTATCTATCTATCTATCTATCTATCTATCTATCTATCTATCTATCTATC